ATGCCCATGGCGTGTCCATGACCTCTGTGTCTGTGCCCATGCCATGTCCATGCCGTGCCCATGCCGTGTCCGTGCCCATGTCATGTCCATGCTGTTTCCATGCTCATGCCACGTCCATGGTCATACCTATGGTATGTCCATGACCTCTGTGCCTGTGCCCACGCTCGTGCTCATGCCATGCCATGTCCATGCTCATGCCCAGGCTGTGTCCCTGTTGTGCCTGTGCCCATGCCATGCTCACGCCATGTCCATGCTGTGTCCATGCCCATGCCATGTCCATGCTGTGTTCACACCCATGCCGTGTCCATGCCCTGTCCATGGTGTTCCCCACGCTCACACCATGTCCGTGGCCCATGCCATGTCCACGTCCATGGAGTGTCTGTGCCTTCACCCCTCATGCCCACTCCATGCCCATGCCCACAGCGTGTCCATGCCCTGTGCCCACATGTTCTAGCATGTTCCATGCCCTTTGCCATGCCCATGTTCTGGCACGCTCATGGTGTTCCCCATCACCACGGCTTTCCCGTGCCACATCCACACTCGATGACCCTGGCATGACCATGCCCCACACCACGTTCCATGCCTCACACCACGTTCCATGCTCCACACCACGTTCCATGCCCCATGCCCAGGGTGTCCCCGTGCCCACAGTGCCCCCACACTGGCACCAGCGGCCCCCCCGCTCACTTGAAGGTGATGATGTTGGGGTGCTTGAGCTTGCGCAGGTGTTTGATGTCGGTCTCCTTGAGGTCCCTCACCTTCTTCACGGCCACCTCCTCGCCGTGGAAGCGGCCCAGGAACACGGCGCCCTGTGCCCCGCTGCCCACCCACTGCAGGTCCAGGATCTCCTCAAATGGCACCTCCCAGGGGTCTGTGGGCACCCACGGCCATGGCACCCCCACAGCACCCAGAGCACCCCCACACCCATGGCTATGCCACCCAGAACACCCTCCTTTGCCCCCCTCATACTGTCCCACCCTTGGACCCTCCTTTGCCCCACTGCCCCAACCTTTGCCCCCTTTTTTGCCCCCTTGCCCTCCTCGCACCCTCCTTTGCCCCCCCTTGGACCCTCCTTTGCCCCCTTTTCCCCTCCCTCCTTTTCCCCCCTTGTGCCCTTGCCTCCCCCTTTGCCCCCTCACACCCCCCTTTACCCCCTTGCCTCCCCCTTTGCCCCCTCCTTTGCCCCCTCACACCCTCCTTTACCCCCTCGCCTCCCCCTTTGCCCCCTCCTTTGCCCCCTCACGCCCTCCTTTACCCCCTCGCCTCCCTCTTTGCCTCCCCCTTTGCCCCCTCACACCCTCCTTTACCCCCTCGCCCCCTCCTTTGCTCCCTCCTTTCCCCCCTCACCCCCCCCATGCCCCCAGCCCCCTCGGCCCCGCGCCCCCTCACCCTCGGGCGGGTGTTTGTGCTCGGCCGCGTAGGCTTTGCCGATCATGGTCCACACGGGCTTGAGGCACCCGAAGAGCCCCTCGAGGAAGCCCCCCCCCGGCCTGGCAGCGCAGGTGGGCGGCATCGGCCGCCAGCGGCCCCGCGGCCTCGGGGCCCAGCTCGGGGGGCCGGGGACCCCCCCGGCGCGGCCAGGCCTCGGGGGGGGGCGGTGGGGGCGGGCAGGACGTCGCGCAGGACGCACTGGGTGGGCGTCAGCTCCTGCTCGGGGGTCCCGTCCGAGGGCAGCGCCAGCGAGGGCGACGGCGTGCGGGTCTCGTGCAGGCAGGCCATGATGGTGGGACCCCCGCCCGCCTGCGGGGCACGGGGGTCAGCGGGGCGGGGGGGGCACCCCTTGTACCCACAGACACCGCTTTACACGTGTGTGCACTCTACACATGTGTGAGCCCCTTTACACGCATGTGAGACCTTTTACACGCGTGTGAGATCCTTTACACACGTGTGCATGCCCTGCCCACCCACATCTGCACCCCCTGCCATGTGAGCCCCTTCACATACGTGTGAGCCCCTTCACACACATGTAAGACCCTTTACAAGCGTGTGCACCCCTGCCACCCACACCTGCCATGTAAATGCCCTTTACATGTGTGTGGGCCCCTTTACACACGTGTGAGACCCTTTACACGTGTGTGGGCCCCTTTACACACATGTGGGCCCCTTTACACACATGTGGGCCCCTTTACACATGTGTGAGACCCTTTACATATGTGTGAGACCCTTTACATATGTGTGGGCCCCTTTACACACGTGTG